AAGGAGCAAAACAGCCGTTTATCCAAATTCTTCCGGACCTGACTGCAGCTCATAGATGTACCACACTGTGGTGTGTAGCTGCTCCTCACCTGTAGAGCTGTGGGCAGGACATCTTCAGTGAAGCCGAGGCTGCTCCCAGCCTGCTGTGATTCCTTAGCTTAGTCTTCCTCACCACGTCTTTGACTCGGGCCCACGTCCTGTTTTCACTCAGCTGAACACAAACACACAAAATCGTCACTGATCAACTTTCCCTTCTAGCAGTAAATGAAGTGTTTGGGTGACCTGCTAACAAGTTAATTTATACACAGTGACCCAACAAGATCTTTTCAGTTGTGACCAAGCAGACAACAAACTAGTGGCTGAAACACACGCGGGGGGAGTTTGAGAGAGTGAATAATATCCAAAGTGTTGTTTCTTCTGGAGTTTAGCTCCTATTGTGTCCTTTTTGTAGTTCAGCATCACTCGTGTGTTTATTAGCATGGTCGTTGATTTTGTTATTATGTTCTTTGCAGTCTGTTTATATTTGTGTTTCTTTAAGGTTTCGCATTATCGAGTATTGTTTTGTGTCTTCTGTCCTCGTCTCTGTGTGTCCCCTGTACAAATTGTGTCTTGTCTCCAGAGTTTTTGCAGAGCGTCACCTCATATATTTGATGTGAAAACATTAGGTAATCACACTGCAGCATGTGATCCTCTCAGGAAAAACAGCATCACTTACTGTGTGCTGATGGATGGAGAGCCCCTCAGTGCTGTCCCCGTGGACCTCCCCCTCAGTGTGACTCCTTTGGCTTCGGCTCTTCCTCCACAGAGGAGCGAGAGTTAAACCATCACCTGTAACTCCTGAAACAGGGAGCAAACAACAAGCACTTACAGTTCAGTTTGTGCCCGACTAATAACATTTAAACCAGTATTCATTTGGTCCTTTCATGCATTTTGTCAACGCTATAAACAAAACACACACATGTGTGCTGATTAGCCACAACATCTCAAATGCTGTGCGTCCTGCCCAAACTGAAGGATGGACGTTACCATGGTGGTTTCGTCATGGAAAAACACACTGACTCCACCAAATCATTGCTACATGATTAGTTGATTAGTGATTCACATCTTGCTGCAGGGAGTCATGGCTGTTATAAGAAATGGAAACAGTGCACGTCTGTGTTTTCCTCCTGATCATCCCACTCCCCTCTTCTCCTGCTTTACTGTAAACACATCACTTCTTATCACAGCTTCTGTTGGTCGTAGCACTTTGCTAGGAACTATTCAGTCCGGCGCTATAGCTACATAACAGTCGGTGAATCCAAATCTGAAATGATCTTATGTGGCCTGTGCATAGTCCAAATACGTGTTCCTGTCAGGAGCAGATGTCCGCCCGGGTTTGGGTGAAGCAGAACCTTTCTTTAAAGCAGATGAACTGTGGGGGTAGTTCTGGGTCACGCTGTGAAACTTGAGTACTGCTAAAACAATTTGAGAACATAGTTTAGTTCATTCAGGGTGTTCTCAGAAGCCTGAAGGCTGCAGAACAGTAAGTCCTGTCTGAGGAAAATATCTTTCTAAAAATATCTCGTCTTCTACGTTTGGAGAAGCTGAGAACTGCATCTACGCCTCCTTCTTTGCCTGCTTGTGCAAATAAACTGCTGCCAGT